CTTTTAGTTTTAGGACTTACAAACAACCGTTATGTGAACAAAACTATAATACTCTCTTTAGCAATTTTGTTGCGAGAGTATAAAAATTTACATTATATTATTAAAATTTCACTAACAAATAAAAATAAAAAAAAGTTGTATGACTTTTATTTTTTAATTTTAGTTAATTTAGGAATGTAATAAATTCGAATATTGTCGATATTCAATTACTTTAATATAAAACCGTTACTTTGCTAACATATAAGTAATTATTTATKGTTTTGGTATTCCAGAAAACTCGAAAAAATTCCCAAACAGTATTTTTTATATACTTTTTGTGCTATCTTTTAAAAGTTCTTTATCCTCCCACACCAGCAAGGCAACAATTCAATTTGCTGCATGGTTGTTACCCACATGGATKGCGGTAAATGTGGTCATTTGTTACGACGAACAGTTCATTTCCGGTCGGCTGTTTCCACCGCCAATCAACTAACTTTATGGCCAATTAGTTTTTCACCCGAAGTATGCCTGCCTGCACTTGGCAATTGAATAGCAGATGAACACAAACAGAACAGATATGCTTTTGGATGCAGAGATACAAAATGGAAACTTTGCAAGGCAACGCATGCGAGTATATGCATAGRTAATCACAGTACTGGGAACTACTCTTCTCGAAGTGTTCGATTTAAGAAACAAATGTTAAAGCAATCAAAACAAAAAACAGCAGACTGTTCAATGCAACTTTCTTTATAAAGAGCTGCGTTTGTTTACTATCGCATCTTTCAGTTGCTGTTGCAGCGTAGAGAAACGCACACACCCACAAGGTTGCGATTTATTATTACAGATTATTTGTAAATACTCGATTAGGAGAATCTTCGAAATGCATTTGCTTGGTGCCTGAGCCCCGGAGGCACGAAGGCGCACCTGAAATTTATGATAGTTCGATTGTTGTACTCGTAGCATGCATGTGGCAGTTTGTTTATAAAATAATCCAGATAAAGTACTATAGGCTACATCTACCGACATACATACATACATACATACGWGCAAATATGYWAYTCTTTGTGTTATTGTTGGCTTATTGGTTTCCAAATGCGTTCAATTACTCCATTAATATTTGAACCTTGTAAAGTTGTGCCAAGGCGAAAATGCAAGATTTAATTGGCATTAGTTTCAAGGTAAGCAGGTGCAGCATGAACGGTTTGTAGATACTTCTGTAAACAGACGTTAATTATGTTTAGTAGAGATTCACCGCKTGGGAACGTGGTCAACAGATGTACATATGTTAATTTAACTGCTTTCTAATTGCTRTCGTTACCGAATATATTGTCATTTCCTTCAGAATATCCAAAATTCGTCGTTCAATACCTGTCTAAAATAGCAGAAAACTTTTCCAAAAAGAAGAATTACGAATTTGACTTGCTAATAAAATTGATAGATAATATATGGATTGCTTGGTTTCTATGAGCTAATCATGTTAGGATAGACGCGGATTGAAGGGAAGCATTTTTCGATATGTTTTCAATTCTAGTATGAATGTAAAAATATGAGGGAGTGAAAGAAAAAAGAAGAAAGAAGAGAGGAAGAAAGAGAGCATGAAATAAGAATAGTCAGGCGCTTTGAAAATTTTATTTAACTGAATCGTCGTACAATACATTGAACATGGGAACACCTGTTAAAGCGCCATTTTCTTAAAGAAAAGTATACGACCCCACATAAGATATTACCA